CGGGGCCCCCCCCCCGGGGAGCCAAGCCGGCTTCTCTTGCTGGACCGCTGTGAAGCCAGCCCCCGCTGCCCGCCCCCAGCACCAGTGCCTCTAGCACCCGGGTCCCGCACACGGATTTCCCCGGCAGCCAACCAAAGGTTGACCCTGCGCTTCCGAGTGATGCTAGCTCCTAAACGCCTCCCTCCTAGGGCGCCGAGACATTCCCCAGCCTGGTGCCCCAGCGCCCATAAAAACCCGGAGCCAGCCTAGCCGGAATGTTTGGCCCAAACCTCACTTTGTGCAGTCTAAACAGGGGATGGGGAGCCAGCTGGCTTCATTGGAAAAAAGCTGGACTCCAGTGCGCCCTAGCCCAGGTAGGCTGGATCTTGTCTATGCTTAATCTTAACCACCCCTTTCCCCTAAATTTGGTGATCTAAACAGAGGGGGGAATAGCAGGCCCTAGTGCTGCCAACCCCTCCCCCTCCCCCCAGCTCTTCTTGCAAACAGGTGCAGCTCAGGAAAACATGAATCCAGTGGGGGTTGGATTTCCATTTTTTGCTCCCAGATTCCAAAACTGGACACTTCTTGGCCTTCCCACACAGCCAGAAAAATGCAAACGCCAGCTCATCGGAGCTACACAAACACAAGGATATGGCACTTGGCTCTTGTTGGATTATCTAGCACATTTTGGCCCAGATGTCTTTACATTCTCCTGGATAAAGAGATCAAGTGTCGCTGCTCCTAACCTTGCTATTTAACACTTAATTAATTCATTGAAAGTCAGCAGGGTCTAGTAGATCCAGCTTTTTAACCTTTCTCCAAATAAATTTGCCCATATGTGAATAATTCAGCATGGATAAAAGATGTGGGTTCAGTTCCTGCAATCAACCTTTTCCCCAGGCTTGGAACCTGCTGCTAACTGACTAGTAGAAGGAATAGGTAGAGCCCCACGTGGATACAAAATTTGTATCCACGTCTGCATCTGTTGCCACAGAAATGAGTCATGGATATCTGCATCCATATCTGTAGAGGCAGATAGCTGTACATATAAAGTGGATAGCTGCAAATTTGCAGGGTTCTAGATACAAAATTTGTATCCGCATCTGCCTCCATATCCACAAAAATGACTTATGGGTGTCAGCATTGGGATCCTGCAGATATAAAGCAGATATCCACAGATTTGCAAGGCTCTAGGAATAGGAACCCTCCGGGCTGTAGATCACTTTTGGAATCAGAGACTGTAGGAGCACAGGACACAGCGTGATGGACACCCCACAATCAAAATTATTGTTACAACAGCAAGCCTGGAAAAACTGTTAACAGACAAGCAAGGGCCAGGCAAAGGATTTTGTTGCCAGCATGCCTGTCCACACTTTCCCTGCCACACCAGGATTAAACATCCCACACTGCTGGGTAGCTAGAGTGAGGGGGGTGAAAAGAGGGAGAGACGTTTTGTCTTATTAGAATATACACTGTAGCATGGCTCACTTATCTGGGGTATGTGTCTACATCACTCAGAAAGAGCGGAAATAACCAATCTGTCTGAGGCTGCCCATGTGTTTGGCAGAACTATTTCATGATGAAAGGAAGCCAAAAATAAGATCTAAAAATGGTTGCCTCTGTTGTGTATGGTTATGATGTATCAGCACCAGGTTATAGCACAGCTAAAACACACACACGTGTGTGTGTGCACATGACACACAAACACACATACTGTTTTTTTTCTGATTTCTCCCTAGCCTATATCCTCAACGTTTCAGGAATTACAGCATCTGAGTCAAGGCCTTTCTCCAAAAGCTCCATTTCAGCCATAGGCTGGTGGAGAAACAAGACTGAAGAAGTTGCTAGAAGCAAAAAATCTCTCCTGTTGTACTTCATACAGCAGCCATGGGTGTCAGCAACAGCGTGTGCTAGTCTAGCAATTCTCAGCAATAGGAAGTCTAGCTCAGGGGTTCTCAGATGGGGAGTCAAGACTCCTAGAGGTTGAGGAGCAGGGACTGACAGCCCCAAGCTGGCTGTGTACAGAGGAGGGAGGAGAGTTTCAGACATAAGCCCGTTAAATAAAAATTAAATTAAATTGCCCCTCTTCATTTTTAATTGGAGGGGAGGGGGATTGAACTCAGAGGCTGCTGTATGAAAGGGCTGCCAGTACAAAAAGTCTAACTGGATAGCTCTGTAATGGGACAATTTACACTTTCCTGCCAGAAATATTGGAGAAGGCAGAGACCTTGTGGATAGGATGGATTCATGGTTAAATCTTTGTAAGAGCCGCCAGTCATTTTGTCAATGCCTCAGGTTACACTTTCCTTGACTTATTTCAAGAAGTACGTCAGCATTCTTCAGCAAACAACACCAGAAGGGTGCTCCTGAGTAGCTAATTGCCTATGTGCAATATTTGATTTGCAATTATTATTGGCTGGTCCCATAGGTCCCACAGTAGCATTTCAGTTACCTGATGGGATCAGCATCGACCTTCCGTCTGATTTACCTCCCATAAATTCCTAAGGAATTTTCCATGGATATTCTTCACCATTTATTAGATATTGTGTGTTTCCACCAGCTTTCCTCCCTCTGGTCAATTGACAGACTAAAACAAAGGAGGAAGCTGGCTGAATTAGCATAAAGAATCTTGCAAACAGGTGGGAACTGTTTTGTGGCCCTCAACTCTAGTGAAGCATATTGGCCTAAAGAGTGGGCAATATCCCTTTAATGTTGACATCTTGGAATCTTTTCTTATGCCGTCTCCTTGAAGAGGGAATTATCTTTTAGTCCCTGGGGCTAGTCTGCCAAGGGCTGGTACTTCCATCACCCACCAAAACACCCCCCACCTGATCATTCCTTCTGGCTTCCAGGGAGAAGTCTCCTGGGTAACTTCTTGAGCTACATCTGGAATGTTTAAGAGAAACTAAGGAAGGTGGAACATGAAATGAATTATAATTAGTGAAGTCCACATCACACAGTCATTCTAATTGGTCCGAGGCACTTAAAGACTAGACAGACAGCTCAGCTGATCTAACAAGTGAACATTTCAACCAATGTAATATTATAGGGACTGAGTCAAAGCTCACAGAAGTCAGTGGAAATTGTTCCCTCTCAAGAGAATAGAATCTGCCAATTAATCCACATTTGTTCAGATGGGCCATCACTGGATTGTTTCATGATCGCCTCATGGCATAACTTTTTTTGTGATTAACCATGTAAGAGTGAATTGGTCTCCCCCTAACCGCAACTCACCCATCTATTAGGCTGCCTGCGGTTTGAAATGTTTGAGAGCATCTGCCTGTGTGGAGAAAATTCTCAGTTCCGGAGCATGTTTCAAGTTTCTGTGCTCTGTCAATCACAGATATTTTGGAATACAACCAAAAGAGTACCCTGTATCCCACTCTCGCCTCATAGCAGCTGTCACCGGGAGCCCAAAGCCCCTGTTTCTGTGCTTTATCTCTGCTCTGAATACCATCCAGCATCACCAGGACAATTATGAAAGTGACGGTTACAGAAATATCAACCCAGCTGGTTCTATTGCGCTGTCTCAAAGGTTACACTATTGCCGTTGATTTAAACTCAATAGTTTTACAGGCCACGATAGTTCATTTTAATTTCTTGAGCGTTCAGCTCATAAAGGTACATCCGAGGAATCTGTGTCCCTTATATGAACAGCTGGTGCACTCAGTGCATTCTCTTTTAATGTCAGCAAACGCCTCCATAAGATGTTGCTAAGTTAATTGATTTAATATATGCTACTAAATACTTAGCAAGTCTGCTCCAGCCATACATGGCTGAGGCATTTTTTTGTTAGCATAAACAGAAGCTCCCAGACCCTTGCATCTCTTTCACCAGGCTGGAGCTATCTGAAGTGCTGGTGTAGGTGAAATACAGCAACTCTCTCCAATTTGGGGGGAGGGGAGTGGTCCTGAGGTTGTCTAGCAGGTGAGGAAAAATGGAAATAACCTCAGTGTTTTGCGTTATGAAAGTGCAGAGTTTCCTTTTGATTTTTTGTAAGTGGCAACAGATCAAAACAAATATTTGATATGAAAGGAATCTGGAACACCTAAGAGTTTCAGGGAAGGGGCCGTTTTAATACAATGTATTTGTATGGCAATGGGGCCATGATTTAGGCCAGTGTTTCTCAGCCTTTTTTTATAAAGTACCCCTTTAAAAAAAAGAAATTATAAATACCCCCAGTATCTACAGTTTTCAGACACACAATTTTTTTTTCTACCATTGCAACACATTTGTTTAAACAACATAATCGTAGCTGGGCGGGCGATGATATTTTTTGGGTGTAAAAAGTTCAATAATAAATCACTGTAAAACTTAAAACAAAATTTCAGTTTTCTCCAAATGTCAGTTGTGTTGACATACCCCCCAGACTTCTCTCGAGTATCCCTAAGGGTGCTCATACCACTGGTTGAGAAACGCTGATTTAGGCTTTGGTAAGATAAAAAACCAGTTTTTTTTAAAGGCTCCAAATGCAGCTCTTGAACAGACCAGCCATCAGCTTATGATGAAGAGGAGACTGATTCA